GCCCGGCTTTCTCTGCCACGCACGGGGCGCTGCGGGGCTGTGGGGCCCCGCAGCAGCTCAGCAGCAGAGGGGAGGGTCTGAGATGCCATTTCCTGCAAGAGCGGGGGCGCTTAGTGCGTCAGCTTCCTACCAGAAACTTGCTGCTGCTGCTGCTGCTGCTGCTGCGGCAGTAGCAGCGCGCTGCACTGCGGCGCTGTCTCCCGGCGGAGACAGCCGCTGCGGCAGCAGCAGCAACGGCCGCCGCGGCAGCAGCTTGTGAAGGGGGCCGGCAAGGGGGCGGCCGCAGCAGCAGCAGCAGCAGCTGCTGCTCTCCAGCGGGGCGCTGCTGCTCTTGCTGCTGCTGCTGCTGCCTGTTAGTTCAATGGCCGGGGCGCTCTTTGCCAGTGCGACCTTTCGATTCAGACTATTCCCGTTGCACGCTATTCATTTGCTGCTGCTGCTGCAGCAGCAGCAAGCAGCAGGGGGGCCCCTAAAGGGCCTTCGGGGGGCCCCCAGGGGGGCCCCTAGGGTTCACGTGAAAGGGTTTGGGTTTTTGGGGTTTTGAGAAACTCCAGGGATCAAGTTTTTGTTGATAAGAGTTTGCTTCCGAAGCGCTGCGAGCTGTTTGCTGCTTTGCTGCTGCTGCTGCTGCTTTGGGCTAGAGCTGAGGGCAGCTGCTGCGGCAGCAAGTCTCTCTTGAACAGCAGCACGAGCCGCTCAAGCGCGCGGCGGGGGATTGCTGCTGCTGCTGTTCGTGGGGCCCCGTGCTGCTGCTGCTGTTGCTGCTGCTGGGGCTGCTCAGTGCAGGTGAACCAGGAGTGATGGCTTGACCTCAGAGTTAGCTGCTCCTGCTGCCTGCGGCGTTGCTGCTGCTGTTGCTGCTGCTGCAGCAATTGGTGGGGCTCTGCGTCTCTGCGGTGGCTTTGGGGTCGCTGCGCTGCTGCTGCTGCTGCCGAGCCGTGCGGCTGCTGCGCTGCGGCGTCTGGAGCGGGTTCGCCCGCTCTTGCTGCCCCCGTTGCTGCTGCTGCTGCTGCTAGCTGCTTCTGCAGCCACAAAGGCCTGGCCATCTCTAAAGCTCTTTTGTCTTCTTCAACAGCAGCAACTGTTGCGCGTCGGAAGTGAAGTTCTATAAGTGCCAGCAGCGAAGGCGGCAGCTGCTCGAGGGGTTCTATTTCATCTGCTGCTGCTGCTGCTGCTGTTGGGGAGCCGCTGGGCACGCCTCCTGCTGCTGCGTCTGCTGCTGCGCTGGCGTCCGCTGCTCCTTCTCCTTCTCGTGTCACCCCTGCTGCTGCTGCTGCTGCGTTCGCGGGGTCTTCGTTTGTTGGTACATTTGCTGCGTCTGCTGCGTCTCCGTTTGCGGCTTGCTGCTGCTGCACCCAAGGTAGCTGCAGCAGCAGCAGCTCGATCTCTGCTGCTTCTGCTTGGGGTGTTTTGCTGCTGCCGCTGCCGTTGGCTGTGCGCTGATGGTGGTGGTGGTGCAAGTGCTGCTGCTGCTGCTGCTGCTGCTGCTCTTCAAGCTCTTGTATCTCCTCAGGAGTGCTGCTTGCTTCCACAACGATTGTGGGGTAGTTGCGGCGGGAGCGCCGCTCTGCTGCTGCTGCTGCTGCGCTGCTGACGGTTGCCGAGACCCCGCTCTTCGAAGCAGGAACAGCCGCTGCAGCAGTTGCAGCGCCGGCCCCAGCAGCAGCAGCAGCAGCAGCAGCTCCGGCTTGCTTGCGGCGGCTTAAGAAGAGAGCTCTTTGCTGCTGCGATACACCCCAAGTTGCCTTGGCTGGCAGCAGCGGTCTCTGGCCACTGTGCAGGTCCGCTGCTGGGTCTGCTGCTGCGTCGTGCTTTGCTGCTGCTGCTGCTGCTGCTGCTGTAGTGTCGGGCTTGGCGGGGGCAGCAGCAGCAGCAGAGCCCAGCCGCCGCTCCGCCAGCTGCAGCCGCTGCTTCCTGGCTCTGCTGTTTGCCAGCTGCAGCAGCCGAAAGCGACGCATAACATCTGCTGGTGTTGCAATTGTTTCCATTTTGCTGCTGCTGCTGCTGCTGCGCTGCTGTTCAGGGAGTCTTGCCTTGCTGCTGCAGCATGGAGGGGCTCTCCGTCTTGCTGCTGCTTTCCGACGTCTGTGTGGCGCTTGCTGCACCCTTGCTGCTGCGCCGCTGCTCCTGTGCTGCTGCTGCTGCTGTGCCGCTGTTACTTTGCTGCTCTTCCTGCTGGTGCTATCCCTCTGCTGCTGCTGCTGCTCCTGTGCTGCTGCGGCTGCTACATTTTGGGAATGCTTCTTCTCCGTGTATGCGTATTGCTGCTGCTGCTGCTGCTGCTGCTGCTGCTTTCTGCTGTTTTCTCTTTTTGTCTTTTTTCCCTTTTTGTCTCTTTGGCCTTCTTTCAGTCTTTCTTTTATTTTTTATTTCTTTTATTTCTCTTTATTTCTTTTTTTTTTCTCTTTTTGTCTTTTTTGTAAAATTCCTCTGTGTGTCTGTCTTTGTCCTCCCTTTTTAATCTTTTTATTTTTTATTGCTTGTTTCTTTTTATTTCTTTTTATTTCTGTTTTTTAATTTTTAATTCTTTCTTTAAATTCTTTTTTGCTTATTAGTGCTTCTTTTAGTCTTTCCTTATCACTTCAGATCTTTTATTATTTATTATTTTTATTTTTTTGTCTTTTTTTCTTTTTTATTGTTGTTGCTTCCCCTGAGTCTTTTAGTTGCTGCCTCATAAAAAGAACTTAATAATAAATGAATTAAAAAGAAATGCAAATTAAATCCATTTGAGGATTTAAGGGGCGCCCTGTAGCTGCAGCAGCAGCAGCAGGGCCTCTCCTACAGCTGCAGCTCCTCTGCAGCAGCAAAACAACCCTCAGACAGCATTTAATTCCCCCTTTTTCCCTTCTTTTAGCCCCCAAACCCTTTTAAATGCAATTTAAGCAAAAAGAAACCTGTAAAAAGCAGGGTGTACCCCAAACGAGCAGCAGCAGCAGCAGCAGCAGCAGCCTGGGGGCCCCCGGGGGGCCCCAAGGGCCCCCGAGACCAGCCGCATCGGGAGGAGGCTCTCTCTGTGTTCGAAACCAAATTAGAAGGTTAATTACTTCGTTAAAATTGCATTTATTTATTTGTGTATTTTTATTTCAATTTTTAAAAGTGTTTTTAGCACAATTTGACACCAAATACACGCTGAGTCCGCCTATTGCCTAGGGTCACCTGCTCGCTTGGGGACCCTGGGGGGCCTCCTGGAGGCCCCTAGGGAGGCATACTGGAGAGAAAGTGGGACTTCGAATGTAAATACTATAAATAAAAATAAAAATTTGTTTGGAGTTCATGTTTGTCGGATATTACCCACGGGCAGCGCGCGGTGTACGTACACCTCAGCAGCGCACGCTGCTGAGGTGTGCATACACCGCAGACTCGACTGCGCGCGCGCGTTTTCTCCTTTTGTTGCTTTCAGTGGCAAAAAAGAAATAAAAATAAACTCCATTAAATGCCATTTGTTCGAATTCCTGCACATTTACTTTATAAACATCCCGCGGCTGCCAGTGACCGAAATCCCCATACACTTCTGCAAATTTAGACTTGCTGCAGCAGCTGCAGCAGCAACAGCAGCAGCACGTGCTGCAGCAGCAGCGGCTGCTGCAGCAGCGGCTTCTCCGCAGAGCTGACCGCCGGATGCGGGCGCCCGTGCAGCAGCAAATACATGCCGCTGGACTTTCTCCATTATCGCCATTATCTTCATTCAAAAAAATAAATATACTTAATTATTTAATTAATTTAGTTAGTTTATTATTTATTTATTTATTTATTTACCCACAGAGGTTTATCAATACAAAGACATCCGCATATTTCCTTCAGGCGATGCATGCAATTGTGACTAAGGCCTGCACATGGGGCAGATGGCTAGCTAGCTAGCCAGCTAGCTAGCTAGCTAGCTAGTCAGCTAGCTACCTAGCTAGCTGGCTGGCTAGCTAGCTAGCTAGCTAGCCAGTCCTACTTGCCTTCTCGTACATTCACGTCTTGCAGCACTCTGTGTTTCTTTCTACCAACTAAGCTGCGCATGCATTCAGCCAGCTAGCTAGCTAGAGGGCTGTCAGCGAGCTGAAGAGCTAGCTAGCTAGCTAGTTAGCCAGCTAGCTAGCCAGAGAGCTGTCAGCTAGCTGAGGAGCCAGCTAGCTAGCTAGCTAGCCAGCTAGCCAGAGCGCTGGAAGCTAGCCAGCTAACTAGCGAGACGGCCGTCAGTTAGCTAGCCAGCTAGCCAGTTAGCTGCTTGGCTAGCCAGCTAGCTAGCCAGCTAGCTAGCCAGCCAGCTAGCCAGCTAGCTAGCCAGCTAGCCAGAGAGACACTAAGACAATCCGTAAAACACTGTACATAAAAAGTGCAGCAAAGCACATGGGCAAAAAGAGAAAACCTAAAGGAGACCCAGGGGCCCTGAGGTGTACGTACACCGCAAATAGGTGTTTCAGCGGCTCCCAAGACAGCGGCACCTACGCTGCACAAGCAGCAGCAGCAGCAGCAGCAGCAGCAGAGGAGACGTTGCGTCTCCTCCGCGTAGCTGCTGCTGCCAGAGAGGCCTCCTGCGCGTCTCCTGTTCACCTGAAGGAGGCCTTCCTGGGCGCTGCAGCAGCAGCAGCAACTGCTGCTGCTGCAGCAGCAGCAGCAGCAGCAAACGCTCGTCAGGCAGGGAACAGACATGCGCGCCGCAGCAGCCGCCCTTTCCAGTTGATTTGGCTGCGTAGAGACACGAGAGAGGGCTTCCCCACAAAGCCAGAGAGGCCCTCACCTGCTGCTGCTGCTGCTGCTGCTGCTGCTGCCGCTGCTGCTGCTGCTGCTGCTGCTGCTGCTGCTGCTGCTGCTGCTGTGTCTGCTGTTCTTGCTGCACCCTCGTTGACACCCTCGGAGCCCTCCTCCGATGACCGTTCCTGCTGCTGCCGCTGCTGCTGCTGGTCTCCCAGCAGCAGCAGACGCCAGTCACGAGGCCCAACAACGTCGCTGCAGGAGGCCAGGAGGCGGGCCCTTTCGGGGGAGAGCTGCTGCTGCTGCTGCTGCTGCTGCTGCTGCTGTTGCTGCTGTTGCTGCTGCTGCTGCTGGTCGCTGTCTGTGGGGGGCCCTGGGGGGTCGCTGGGCGATTCTTCTTTGCTGAGAGCAGCAAGAAGCCGCACACCCCTAACGAGCTGCTGCGCCTCCCTCGACTCCTCTGCTGCTGCACTTGCTGCAGCAGCAGCAGAAGAAGCAAAAGTGGCAGCAGCAGCAGCAGGAGAATTCGGCCCCAACGGAAGGGGACGCCTTCTACCCGCAAGGGGGGCCGATGAGCTGTAGCTGTTGTTGCCTCGGGGAGAGGACATGCAAGACTGTTGCTGCTGCTGCTGCTGCTGCTGCTGCAGAGCCAGCAGCAACAGCTGCTGCTGCTGCTGCTGCTGCTGCTGCAGCGCATACCACATGTCGACGCTGCCAGAAGCGCCGCTGCCATTTGCAGAGACCCCTGCGGTGTCTCTACAGCTCCTTGCTGCACCTTTGGAGCTGCCAGTGTCAATTAAGCCGTCTGCTGCTTGCTGCTGCTGCAGCATAAACTGCTGCTGCTGCAGCAGTAGCAGCTGCCGCTGCTGCTGCAGCATCAACCCCTCAGCTGCGGCCGGAAGCTGCTGCGTCTGCCCATTCAGCAAGGAAGGGCTGGCAGCAGCAGGAGGCGCCACTGCAGCAGCAAGAGCAGCAGCAGCACGCGACTGCGCAACTGCAACAGCAAACTTCGTTGTTGAGTGTACAGACAAAGGCCTGTCCCTTTCGTCTTCCTCCTCTGCTGCTGCTGCTGCTGCAGTTGCTGCAGTTGCTGTTGTTGCAGTTGATGCTGTTGCTGCTGCGGCTGCAGCACACCGCGAGCTCACAGTGTCCCTCCTGCTGCTGCGCCGCTCCATGCCCCACTCCTGTGCAGCGCCGCCCCACTCAGCAGCAGCAGCAGCAGCAGCAGCAGCAGCAGGAGTCCTCGGCGAGCTGCGAGTCCGCCGCTGCACTAAAGAAGGAGGAGGGGGCCCCGAAGATGCTGTGTCAGTTGACTCTTCTCCGTCTGTGGCTGCGACAGAGTCTGTTGCTGCTCCTGCTGCTGCTGCAAGGCCTGCTGCTGCTGCTGCTGCTGCGGCTGCAGCAGCAGCAGCAGCAGAGCGCGTGGTGCGCGGCGTCTCGTTGCGGAGCTGGCGACTGACTTGCTGCTGATCTAAGGAGACCCGGAGAGCCTCGCCGCTACTGGGCTTGTGCTGCCTGTCCTCTGCTGCTGCTGCTGCTGCTGCTGTTGCTGCTGCTGCTGCTGCTGCTGTGTCTAACTGGGTCTTCACGAGAGCCTTCATGGGAGGAGAAAGAGCCTCCGAGCTCTCAGCAGATTCCCCCCGGCTGGCAGCGCCGGGCCCCCGCCGCTCTGCACGCCTGCTGCTCTTGCTGCTGCTGCTGCTGCTGCTGCTGCTGCTATCTGCTGCTAGCTCCTTCAGCGGCGAGCGGCTGTGGGGCCCCGGGGGGCCCCCCCCCCAGCTGTCAGCCTCAGGCGTTTGGCGGGGGCCCTCTGAAGGGCTGGAGGAGACCGAAGCAGCAGATCCCCCCCTGGTGCTGCTGCTGCTCGTGCTGCTGCTGCTGCTGCCGCTGCCGCTGCTGCTGCTGCTCGCTTCGCAAGGCGTGTCCGACCGAGCGTCGCCAGGGCTTGACGGCAACGTCATTGCTGCTCCTGCAGTTGCTGCAGTTGCTGCTGCTGTTGTTGTTGCTGCTGCTGAGGGGCTTTCCCTCGAGCACGCACGCCCTGTTTTCCCCTGCTGCTGCTGCTGCTGCTGCTGCTGCTCTTGCGCCGCAGCTATTGCAGCGCGCAAACCTCCCTGATGCAGCGTTCCACGGGCAGCCTTGTTCTGGTGTGCTGCTGTCCTCCCGGTGCTGCTGCTGCTGCTGCTGCTGCTGCTGTGAGCGCTTGACTTGGCCGCGGCCTTTCTACTGCTGCTGCCGGTAAGGCTGTTCTCGCTGTTACCACTGCCGTTGCTGCTGCTGCTGCTGTTGCTGCTGCTGCTGCTTCGCTCCATCCCCCGCTGCCAGCTGCTGCTGCCCTCCCGGCGCAGCAGCTTGCTGCTGCGCTTTGCTGCGTGCTGTGCAGCAGCGCTGCTGCCGCGGGTCCCACTTGCTGCAGCAGCAGCAGCAGCAGAGTGCCCGTGGCCCTTGCTGCTGCTGCTTCCGGAGGTGGTTTTGACTAGACTCGTTGCTGCAGATGTTTCCTCATCGCCTGAAGTGCTGCCACTGTTGCTGCTGCTGCTGCTGCTGGCAGCAGCGGGTCCACTGCAGGCGGCGCCCTTTGCAGCACTGCACACCTTGCTGCTGCTGCTGCTGCTATTGCTGCTGTTGCTGCTGCTGTTATTCTTTCTCCTGGGGCTTGGTGATCCGCGCCTATCGCTTCCAGCTGCACTGCCGCAGCTGCTGGTGCTGGTGCTGGTGCTAATGCTGCTGCTGCTGCTGCTGCTGCTGGTTGCTGCAGTTGGCTGCGTGGCCTTGCTGCTTGTTGCCGCTTCAGCAGGATGGCCTTCCTCCAGCTGCTGCGCCTCCTTGACCGTCTTTCGTTTGCTGCTGCTGCTGCTGCTGCCGGCGCTGCTGCTGTCTGCTGGCTCGGACTTAGCAGCAGCAGCAGCAGCAGCAGCAGCAGAAGCAGCTCGCTTTGCATTTGTGCTGCGGCGATCTTCATCGCTTGACTCAGTGATGCGCGCTTGCTTTCTCTTAATCGGCGGCGCTTCCGCGCTGCTGCTGCTGCTGCTGGCTGTCTTCGTGTCAGCAGCAGCAGCAGCAGCAGCAGCAGCGCCTCTTTCTCTCTTTAGCTTGCCCCCTCCTTCAGGGCCTCCTGCGGCGGCGCTAGTGGGGGCCGGAGAGGCCGGAGCAGCAGCAGCAGCTGCTGCGCTGCTGCTGCTGCTGCTGGAGGGCGCGGCGCTGGCGGCGGCGGGGCCCGGCCCCGCAGCAGCAGCAGCAGCAGCAGCAGCAGGGGTCCGCCGCTGCTGCTCCTCTGCTGCCATCTTCGCAAACATCGCCTCATAGTAGCGAATCTTCCGCAGCTCTCTTTCGCTCAGCTGCGGCACAAAAACTTTGCTGGCAGCAGCCCCCGCGGGGGAGGGCCCGGACCTCTCCGTCATCTTGCTGCTGCTGCTGCTGCTGCTGCTGCTGCTGCTGCTGGGGCTGGGGCTGCTGCTGCGGCGGCTCTGTGGCTCCCGCTGGACGTGCTGCTCGCGCGGCTGCTGCTGCTTCTGGGGCTGCTGCTGCTGCAGCAGGCGGGGCTGCCGCTGCTGCGGCAGACGAGGCTGCCCCTGCTGCTTCTGGGCCTGCTGCTGCTGCTTCTGCCGCTACTTCCGCTGCCGCTTCTACTGCTGCTGCTGCTGATTCCGTCGCCGCTGCAGCTGCTTCTCTTCAGCTGCGGCTGCTGCAGCGGGCTGCTGCAGCGGGGGAGGCTGCCGCTCCTGCTTCTGTGGTTGCTGCTGCTGCTTCTGTGGCTGTTGCTGCTGCAGCGGGTGGGGCTTTTGCAGGCTACGATAGAGACGGGAGTGCTGCAGCGAAAGCCGCTGCAGCAGCAGCAGCTGCTGCTGCCTCTACTCCTGCAAGAAGCTGAGGGCCCCAGCCCGCAGCGCCCAGTAGCAGATGCAGCGGCAGCAGCAGCAGCTGCTGCTGCTGCTGCAACAGTATATCTCAGCAACTGTGGACCTCACGAGGTGAATACAGGCTCTCAATGCTCGCTGGTGCTGCGGCAGAGGCGCTGTAATGCTGTTTCTGCTGCGGCTGCTGCTGCTGCTGCTGCTGCTGCTAGCACGCAGCAGCACGAGCACGCCCCTGCAGCAGCTTCTTGGTCCCTAAAAAAAATAGGTAGCAGCCAATAGAACTCAAAAACCGATTTTGCTTCAGGGGGAGACGAGCAGCAAAGCTGCTGCTGCTGCTGCTGCTGCAGGCGCAGCCCCAGCAGCCGCAGCGACAGCCCCGGGGAGCAACAGCAGCAGCAGCAGCAGCAGACAGAGCAGCTGACACATAATACGCTTGCCTCGGAATCTTACACTCTTTCTGGAGCAGCAAATGGCAAGTTAACAGTTTGGTTCGCTTAATGTGCCGCGCTTGTTGATTTATTACCTAGCAGCAGCAGCAGCAACAGCAGCAGCAGCTGCAGCAGCGCCTGCGCCGACACGTTGTCTCGCCTGCTGCTCCTGCTCCTCCTGCTGCTTCCCGCAAGACAGCATTTGCTGCATTTCATCTCCCCGGGGATTTCAAGGGACAGCTTAAGCGTCTGCAGCAGCAGCAGCAGCAGCAGTTCTCCCGCTGTGAGGCTCTGCTAGCAGCAGCGCAGCAGCAGCAGTTCACCTCTGTCTTCAGCAGCAGCTAAAGGACGCCGTATGCCCTGAGGCCCTGGGGCGGCAGAGGGGGCCCCCTGCAGCCTGCCCTTCAATCTGCTGCTGCTGCTGCTGTTGCTGCTGCTGCTGCTGCAGCGAGCTCTCCGTGAACTAGAAATGCTCCGCTCCTTTGCTTCTGCCTGCTGCACCCTGCTGGCTTTGCTGCTGTGCTGCTGCCAATGTGAAGCCAGGGTACTGGGGGGGCCCCCAGTGGGGCCCCCGCCGCAGCACAGCGGGGGGGCCCCCCGGGGGGCCCCCCTGGCGGCCCCATCGGGTACCTTTAACTTATATTCCTCGCTGCTGCCAGCAAAGTATACAGCAGCAGCAGCAGCAGCTGAGAGCTGCAGCTCCACAGCTTCCACGTTTCGCCCGGCTGCCTTCTTCCACTGGCGCAGCCAGCCGCAGCAGCAGCAGCAGCAGCAGCAGCGGCAGCGGCAGCAGCGTTTAAAAACCCGCGATTTGTGCCTTTGGGGTTCTTGCGGCGGTTCCAGCGGCAGCAGCAGCAGCAGCGGGAAGCGCGGCAGCAGGCAAAACAGCGCCGCGGAGAGCAGCAG